AAGCAAAAGTACATTTCAGTTTATGCAATGGTGGGAAATTGCTGTTTCAATGTTTCCTTTTCTTTGTGGTATTTTTTTAAATTTCTTTTTGAAGGTAGTGATTCACCTTGTTCTATTTCAATTCAGTTTTCACTATTTGTTGTAAAGGAGCTCCCCATAACTCTATGGGGACATCCCTAGATCAGCACCAGGCAGCTTCTAGTGAGATGTTCTGCTCCATTTTTTAAGAGTGCATCACTTTTCTCGATTTTCAAAGGGGAAAAATTCAATGCGTAGAAGGAGCTTAGGGTTGAGATTCTTAAATGACTGTTGAGGGCACCCCCAAACTCTGCAAGACATCAGCAAGAGCAGCATTCACATTGGCTTTCCCCGCGAGATGGTACATGGCATAGAGGGCTCCATTTTTGGCTTAGCTGGTAGCGTTGAAAAAACAGGGATAATGAGAGCACTCTGGGCCTCTCAGAACTTTGTAGACTTCAACAAGTGAGATCTTTGAATAAATTTTAAAAAGTAACTTGTGACAGTAAGTTAAACATTGGCATGTTTCCACAGTCCTATACTGAACAGAGAAACAAATGTCACGTCGCTGCAGAAGCTATGATCTCCGCGGTAGCTCTCTCTTTAGCTCTCAAAGAGTTTGCATTATTTCTCCAAAAATGACAGCAGTTTGTGTGAACACCTTCTTTGGAGTTCAGGCGACGGCTGTTTTGGTTAAATAATGAGATGCAGGAGGCAGTAACTATGGAGACCATGCAAGTGGCCATAAAATCTGCCCTTTCAGAATATAAATAATAACTTGAAAAAAAAAAAAAATCAGTGCTCAAGAAGCAGGAAGGCTGAATGACATTGCTCTCCATTCCACCAAACAAAGAAGACAATGCAAACACGCAAGTGGCAGATGAGACGCCGTTTGACTCTACGTCTGACCCGCAGCACAAACACTTTCCACTTCGACTTCCTAAAGTCATGCACATGCCTTAAAGAGCGTAAGGACAGAGAAAGAAAAAAAATAACATTTACTAACCACAGGTCTTACAGGGTGCTATCAGGAAATCGATATAGAATAAGGTACTGTATGCTAAAAAGGAGAAACTAAGAAGTCTGACCTCACAGTTTGGTACTGGTCAGATGCTTTCGCTATGATCATTATGACAGACTGCCACTGGGGCACTCCTGTCCTTGCTGTACGGCCTCTGCCCAACCTCTATGTGCACAGCAGTCAGCTGACCAGCAGTGAATATGCAGTGGATTTCCCCACCCGGACGCCTGCCGTCTACATCACCAGCACTAGTTAAAACCCTTAATGGAAAGTGACCCAGTGACAAATGGAAAAATGTTCTACAGAGTCTCAATGATGCTATAAGGGATTTTTTGTGCTTTTTGTGCTTTCAGAAGTCACTAGCAACTCATTTCTTGTATGTTCAAATACGAAAAGCTCAGACACACTGAATTTTAAAAGGAGCGAGTTTCCCCCTCAACCTCAGGTCTGGGGCTTCAAGGTGTTCATAAGCGATTTAATTAAAACTTGGTGTAAATCCTTGAGGGCAAGGCCACAGCAATCTTGGCTCTCATCCCAGGGCCAGACAGACCACAACAAATGACGAGGGCCACTGAAACTCCCTTTGCTTCCCAAAATGGTATAAACAGGATACTTGATCAATTACCAGTCTGAAGTTATTTTCTTTCTCCCCAAGGTCATAATGTACACATGTCTTCTAAAACCAGGGACCCACTAGGTACTGTATGCTACTTTATATCAGCAGAACTCTTAATTACAGTTTGATGGAAGAATTGCATGAGTGCAGTGACATACATAACATCATACAATTTATTTTTTAATGTGTGTTTATGAACAAAAACTTCTTCTTACAATACTATACACCCAACGTTATTTAATATATTATGCTGCCAAATCACGTTAAACCAATGAAAGACATACTATTCAGGCTCAACAATGATGTATGAATGATGAATTACCACTGCAATTACCAAATATACTGTCATTATTATTTCTTAAAACTTTTGAAGGACCTTTATTCATTTTTGACCACTAATTTGTATACTGTAATTTGAGTAAAGGTCACTAAATCAAAAGAAAACTTAAAAGTGGATTCACGAATAGCATTAAGAGTTTAATGTATACGAATTTAATTTTTTTTAAACAAATTTCCAGAGTAGGGTGTGAAACAAGGGCTTTAGATGCTACATTCAGATCAGTGAAGGTAGGAATGATAAAAGTTCAAAGTTAGCCTGTTCCAAAAGGAAGCATCTGACAGCAGCACCCAGAAGGCTCTGGCTGACGACAGGTGCAGCAGTGTGGGGAAGCAGTGATCTCTGCCACACAGGCAGGCACAGTATGTTTATTTCACCCCAGACAGCATGCACAACCCCCCCCGCAAATGGGTGCGGCAGGGTTGAGTTTCACCCCTCCTGCGGTCTCCACCCAATATCACACTGTCACAAGTAGGAGATGTGAGCATATGGCGTAAGTGCGCCAGACCTGGCCCACTCAGACAGGCCAAATGTGCTCCGCTGCGGGGGGGGCTAAGGAGCGGGGCACGCCATGACGGCCCAGGGCCTCGCGATCATCCTCTCACCCTGCCGGCCACAAACATGAACACACACCCTGGTATTTACCGGCTTCCGATGCAGCTTGAGCTAGTGCACTGCAGTCACAATAAACATCCCATCCCAAAAATAGATGTTTATTCAGGAGGCAGTAAAAATTACGGTTTTTCATTATGATTATATGGCTGCCAGTACTAAAATAACTACAGTGTAAGTCAATCAGATAACAGAAGAACATAAACAAATGGGAGCTGGCAAAGCATTTGGCTGCACCAAAAATTGAGGTTTAAAGATCACCGATGGCCTGACAGTTCACTTGAGAAGTGAGGCATGACTCGTGCTGTCTGATTATTACTCGTTTCCTTATACCCGAGTGCCGTTATGAGTAATGGTTGTAGAGGTCAGCATGTGAGCTCCTTCAATTCATTAGCAAAGTGAAGCCGGCAAGAGGCCGGTTCTGTGTGCACATGCTGCTCTTCCCCCCACCAAAGCAAGCCCAAGCCCAAGCCCAAACGCCCAGCCCACGCTTAGCACACGTCTGGCTCTGTCTCCCAGGGGGAGAACTACATAGAAACGATGCAATTTGGTGGGTTCAGGGGTCTGCTGTCATTTCATTCTCACATTGCAGGGAAGCAGTGAAATTCACTATGACTGTACCATAGTATTTAGATGGGTACCACTGCAGTACATAGCGATTGACTTACTGACAATATGAGGCATCCAACCACATTCAGTTAGAAGGCTGATCCTAAGCTGGCTGAAATTTCAAAAATCAAATCACATCAATTGAAATAAATAAAAATCACAATCTGAACTATGTACTGACACTAACCTAAATGCATCAACTACCCATTGAAACTGGAGTATGATATTGTATACGTGCTACCTATTGAAGGCGTCTTTAGGTATCCAAATTAGTGTCCAGCGGTTGCATTTGTCCAGTGAGCAAACGTCAACATTGCCCAATCTTCCCAAATACGGTGGCTGATACATTTTATCACACTGTAGTTGAGAGGTAGCAGATTTTTTTAAATATCAATACATGGCATTTAAAGTGTTACAGAAAAGTTCAAAAATAACGTAAAAAGTAAAATCTCAAAAGTGAAATATGCTTGACCTAAAAATGAATGTTACCGATGTTCTAAGCTTCTAAAACAACTTGCTGTCTAAAAGCAGGGTAATACGTTTGCTAAATGTCCTTATTCAAAAATTTGATGTGAATCAGCTGTTGATGTGAATCCACGTTGCTGGACACAGACAGTTACATCACTATTTCCTACTGTATTGAGAGCTTTTTATTGAGTTTTACTGTTAAACTTGCAACTAAACTGCTGCAATAATTTACTCACACTTCATTATATGGCAGCACAATAACCCTTTTTTAGAGCTGTATAAAGACTTCAGCAAGCTATTACATTTTCAATGGCATTGCTGGATTCCTGCCTTCCTGCTGAAATTAATCATTAACTGAACACATGGATGAAAAATGCATGACGATCATCCACAAAGACAACATGAGGCTGAGAATTTTGAAAAGCAGGTGAATCTTAGGATCAATCACATCAGACAAAACTAATGACACACATTTGTCTATATTCACACAGACTGGTGCAATAGTATCCTGAACTACCTATCTAGCAGTCTAAATCTAAATTATTCACCAAAAATACTCACCTAAGAAAATCATTTTCCATAAAGGTATGGATGTGTTGCAGACTAAAAAGTCACTCTTACCATGTTAGTGTGACACTAAAAGTACACATCACCCATAAAGACCAGCAGGGGTAAAAAGTCACTCTTACCATGTTAGTGTGACACTAAAAGTACACATCACCCATAAAGACCAGCAGGGGTAAAAAGTCTCTGACTCACAAGTGACAGAATCCTGGAAACCCACTTTGCTGTTGTGCTTTAAAATCGTACCGGTTAATAAACCGGAAAATTGTATTCATGATATCATGTAATGCTTTTCATTAAGCTTTCGGCCTTTGTGCACAACAAAATATTCTAATTGAACTTAAATTACTAAACAAAACCCTTTCTAAGAAGCCATAGTCCACTGAAATGGTATCAAGCAGTAAGCGAGCTACTAAAACCACATCCCCGTTTTTTTTTACATAAGTCATCTTGCTCATGACTAATAAAGCTGAAAATGAAGAGATAACCCAATAAAATTAACTTATACCTTTTCCAACCACCAATCACAAAAAGCTTACATTTATTGCAGCCTACTCAGAAAGCAATTAAAGGGCTATATAAAGACATACAGCTTAAAAATAAAATTTACGAGGTTTAAAATTCCCAAACACATCAGCTGAAAGACTTCCTTTTTTCCAATGTTCTCACTGCTTTGTGAAATAAACTGACACCGTGAGTGTGGAGGCCCTTTCAGAAAAAGAATAAAATGATGAGGGAATGGGGAGGAGCCCTACCGTCGTCCAACGTGATGTCCTGCAGGCCGATGGACTGGAATGTGAGCTCCTTATCTTCTGGCTCTTGCTTAATGTGCAGCCGCTCTCCCTCAGGTGAAAAGGGAGAGCGGGGCGTCAGGGGTGGGCACAGAGCACCTGCCGATGCCAGGCTACCCATGCCGGGGCTGGATGCCTGCGGCGAGGCCTGACCAGAGCATGGCAGATGCATCAAGGGGCTGCTGGATGTCGGCGAGGGTGAGGAGGCCGAACCACCATTTGGGGACTGGTATGGCAGTGGCGGCAGCTGGGGGGACGAGGGACCAGAGTGAGGGGAAGGCACTGTTGGAGGTGGGGCAGTGGCTGAGGAAGGGCAGGATGCTGTGTTTGGATAGCTGGGGCAAGGGGCCTGTCCTGGATTAGGGCACGGGAAGCCAAGGGAGTGCAAGTGCGAGGAGCCATGGGTCAGGGGACCTGGAGGAACAGAACTAGAGGCTGTGCCAAGGGAGGAGTGGTACAGTACACCCAGATTCAGGGGGTGGGAGGTGGCTGGGTCAAGCTGGTAGGTGGTGATTGGCTCATAGGCCTGTGGTGAGGTGGTGGTCATAGGAAGGCTCGGCTGGCCGTTGTATCTCAAAGCGCACGGTATGGATTGGTAAGCAGGGCAGGGCGGAGGTGGCGCTGTGGTGTAACCTAGGGCTGCACCCACCATCTGGCAGTCAGGGCCAAGCCCATGGGCCTCGAGTGGAGACAACTGCTGAAAGGATGGAGCCCCTAAGTGCGGGTAGACTTGCTGAGGAGCTGGCAAGCCGGCAACTAGGCTTTGCGGGGAGCCGGATAGGAGGCTGTCGTGCGGCTGGAGGCTGTCGGGGGAAGGCTGCCGGGGCCTGGCCAAGTGGTGCGCCTGGCTCAAGGCTGCTGGGGGTCCAACAGGAAGGTCCATCTCATCTCGATGCTCCTGCTTCACCACTGCATGGGGTACAACAACGGGCATCATCATCTACCAGCACCATCCATAACTGAGAATGCCCTAATTCACTTCTGCCTCAATCTGATTTCATTATCTACACATATGTACATATATAACAAGCATGTGTGATAAGCCGTCCTATTAAAAGGTCTATTTTAGATGAGTTCCATAGTCAACCAGCAAAGTCTGGAAAAAAAAGCAAACAGAAAAAAATTGTATCATCCTGCATATGAATTGGGTTCCCTCTCTGACCACAAAACATGCATTATTTACAATACAGCTACGAATATCAAGTACAAAAGCATGCTATCAGATGCAGAGGAAATTGCTGATTCATTTCTGAGGCAGAATAAGGCTACAGTACCTTATAAGGGCTAAAGGTGATACTGACGTAAGATGAACAGATTTTGAAAGTTTTGGAGAAATTATGTTTATAAAAGACTTTAAAATGGTTCTAGTTAGCAATCTGCTGCATATGAAATAAGGCGGGTGAGTGAGCTTCCTAGCGACAGAAGTAGCATTCTGTGAGAAAGACAGCGTGACCTTGAGTGGTGGCTGGCTGGCCACAAGCAGTAGGGCAGTGCCCTGTGCCAGCAGGGACACAGGACTGCGCTGTGCTGCCAATGAATGAGAGAAACGCGCTTGTGTTCGCGAAGGATCCTACTGTGGATCAGAGCCAATGTTGCAAATGTGGTTTAGTGTGAGAGAGGCAGTCATGATCGCACTGTTGAGGAACAAGGCTGGAGTAATAAAAGATGAGTGTGGGGGGTGGGATTTAGAGGTTCTTATTTAGACATCCAGCGCCCACGCACTTCGCACCATTGCCGGCCAGGGGGACCACCCACACAGCACCCTCGCCCTAATGAAAAGCAAGACGCTAGCACCGCCCACTCAGGATGCAGCAGCCGCGGTTTGCAGAGCCACGCCGGAGGCCCGTCTGCAGCGGCAGCGTGTGCTTCCTGAGGGCACCTGCGCCTCGCTCTGATTGGCCACGAACTTGGCAGTTGGAGGGGAAAACAGGAAACCATCAGAAAGTGGGTGCGTTGTTAGCGGAGAAGGTGGGCGTTAAAATTCAGCACCACTTCGCTATTGTTGCTGTTCAGCAAGCATTTTTCGCATCGTTTCCTTTTACCCATTTTTATGCTGCAAATTTCAAGGTTAATAAAGTTGTAGGACCTCCCTACCAGTATGTATACCAACAACAATCTCGCTTTACGGGCACATCCTAAGCATGCAGCGTGAGGACTGTTCTGCATCACTGAGGAGCTTCTTCAAGTAAGTTGTTTGCACATGTCTTGAAATTCAGGTTTCACCACTTCCAGGTTTGACTCATCTCAGAAAAGCCTTAAGATTGTTATGATTTCAATGATCTGATTTAATATCATTGCAAACTACTAAGCTGGTAAAGTGTGTTTGGTCAGATGCTTTTAATAGCAAAGTGAATTTACTTACACTTAATTATGAATCTGTGACAGTGGAAGGGAACCTCTGATTTTCTCCATCATTGTTTTCACAAACTGTGTTTAGAGTCCTTACGGCATTCCGTGATACCGACACCCCCCCCCCCCCCAAAGACTAAGGACTATTCACACCTCCCCCCCCAAAGACTGAGGACTATTCACCAAATCAACCCATGGCAGGTTAAAAACTTCCTGAAGAGTGCTCATTTGCACGCAAAAGCAAAGCATTCCCGAAGCTGCGCACAGCGCCAGTAGATGAGCCATATAGAAACAGTTAGCAGGTGTGTGTTTGGTTGCAGGCCGAGGAACCCCTCCTAAACCACATCAAAGGGCAGTAACCGAGAGGGAGACAGCTGACTTCTGCAACCCATCACTCAATACCTCTGATGGAGCATGTTTCAGGTGCCACTACAATGATGAGCATACTTAGCAAGGTGGCTAAAAACCTCATAACCCCTACCTCAGTCAGACGAGGTGAACTTTGTTACCTATTATTTCATAAGCCCAGCCTCTGTTTGGCAGCAGGCTGACTGCTAGATGGGTACATTGGAGTCTTTTTCTGTTAGATTGAAGGATCATTAACACACTCATCATTATTTCCATTGTTCTCCTTGACTTGGCTGATGCAAGGACTGTGGTGATGTGAAAGTTCAATACGGTGGGGGGAGCAGGGGGAGAGCGGAGGGCGTGCAGGGGCACTGGGATCACTTGGGGTCACTGCACTGTACAGTACCTGACAGGTATGTGAAGCGCTGACACTGGCTCCGTTTCCGTTTCCCGTTACACACAAAGAACTGCACCTGGACCGGGGAGCTCGCAGCCTTGTTGTGGTATGGAGGAACCTCCAGCACGAGGCTTGACTGTAAGGAGATCACGCCGTTTCAATTTCTCTGCAGACATTCTAGCTAATTAGTCAGAATAGGGTTGTTTTCCTAGTAAAGCTCTGCTACTTTTTCCCTAAGACAGTTCAAACCAAGAGGAAGACAATGACCTACTTTGCCGTTTCAAATACATGTTATGTGTCTTATAACTTACACAAAGACACAAAGAAATTCAGAGGAACACTTACTCCATGACTTCTTTCTCGCACAACTTTTGCTTCGACTTCCCACTGCGGTCTTCCTTCTGAGGGGGGCGGAGCGAATACGAATCAAATGCAATTAAAAGACAAACTCAACTCGGATCTATTGCAGAGTTAAACTTAAGAAAAGGAATGAATGCACAAAAAAAACATGAAAATACAAATTGCATTGTGTGTCATTTCCTATGATCTTCTGGCATCAGCCCACAATTAAAAACCATTACTGTGTGGTTATCCATCATGCTGTGTTCTGGATTATCTTAAATGTTTTACATGAAGTAAAATTGCGAATATATGCTCAAGCAGTCTGAGGCAACCACTGCATTGAGAAAAGCACTGTATAACACTAACCAACAATCAATAATAAAACAATAGGAGAAAAACACACAAAGAAATGCGAAAAGTAAAAACCTCCAACATACAGAAAACCGGCAACTTTTCTGAAAAAAACATATTACATAGGGAAACAGAGAAAACACGAAATTGTGTTTCAGTAAAAATGCTGTACGAATAAAAGTCCAGGTTTTGCTTTTCTTAATTTGATGGACCTTTGTGGCACATGGTGTCCTAAAACCAACATGTATTTGTTCACGAAATTCAGAAAAAGCTAGAGACTTTTAGCCTGACATATGCAGCAGAACATATGAAGGTTGCTTCAATAGTAACCTTCAAACCTTTAATACCCCTTTATTTTTTTCCTCAAATTAGCTTATATTGACCTTGACTGAGTTAGCATGTTTTTACAATCTTTATGTGAAGAATCAGTACATAAAAGGACTGTGAAGAACCAATAGTCATCAACAAGATTTTCCAACATGTGGCACATGTTAAATGAAACAACTGTTCACTTTACACTGTTTTTCCCTGATGTGAAATTCCCAAAGAGGATACTTACAGAACAATTAAAAGCTAATCGTGGCCTAAAATCCTTTTGTCTAGTGTGCTTCAAATCATGGAAAGACATGTGACTGTTTTATTTGTTTTGAAATGCCTGGCTGCATTACCAGACTGTTAGCTGGGGAAAAAAAAATCCATCTTCAGTTTTCCTGCTCAGCATCAATCTCTGGCTGAGAGGGTTATGAGGACAGACAATGGATTTTTGGGAAAGACAGAGGGAAATTACTTTAAGCACCATAAATCACAGACCATGCCACGAAAAAGTCATTATGTTCCTTTACTGTAATGGGTCTTTGTGTTATGAGCCTATTCAAAGGACACAGGAGACCAATTTAGAGTACTGCTTGAAAAAACTGCATGTGGATCTTATTAAAGCTCTTCACCTGTACTGCTGTTACCTTCCTGAATCAGTAGTATCACAGTAGTAAGCAGGCCGTATCTGCAGACCAGCTAAACCCGTGGTGGAATGAGACCTTCTTTTATTACAACTTATCCTTTGCTTTATTTAGGAGAGTATGCCCGTAAGATGAAGATATTGGCTACTTTCCATTAAATAGGAAACATTAAGTGCAGAGTGAAGAATAACAGGTTATAAACAGAATATCACCCTTTCTATACCCCACAAATATTACACAGAAGATGCTGGCTGGCATCACTTGAACATATATTATTCAAAAAGAACCTTAAGGGATGCAATAAATCCGCCACAAAAGCCCTTGACGAGGGGAGATAACTATAAAGGATCACTGAAGGTGGGAATTAAAGAAGACAGGGTGTTTAGGATAAAGACACTATGCCTGTAATGGTGTTCATTCCTGTCCCTGTAACAAATTCTCCTATTCAGTTCAATTAATTTGATACAATGACAATTAATGATGCTCATCAGTCACGTATTACAGCCTAAATTTGATTGTCTAACATTTTAAAGCTAGTTTCAAAAGCTGGACAATCACAGACCCCTATCCAGGGAATGATTCAGGACAAATCAAAACAAAGACCTAAACAAAAAAGACATTCTTCTCTTTCAAAAAGGTACGTGAACAAAGGTAGGTTGGAGAACTACCCCTCTAGCTCCCAGAAGCTCATGCAGCAACCCATCCATCACAAACACTCTCCTTGCATAGACACCATTCTGCCTTCCAGCATGACAAACCGTACGCAGAACAGAGCTCCCTGCTGACTGCAGCCACACCTAGAGTGAGGGCCGCATCGTTAACTGACCCCGCCAGCAGGGAAAGACTGTGAGTCTTACTATGACAAAACTACCACAGAAAGAGCAGCGTGAGGATATGGACTAGAAAGAACCCTGCCATTGCTGTCCAGGTTGCCATTCAACACAGGCCAAACACAGGGATGAGAAAAACCACTCAAGTAATCGGTGTCTGTCTGTTGTCTGGCAGCACAAAAAACGCCACGACTGAGGAATGGGGTTCACTGTTTCTCACTACTATTCCTTCCTTCATCCACTTTGCTGAAGCACTGCAAATTCGGCACTGCACTTCCCTATCTTGGCACGGCTCCTGCTTGAAAGAGCATGTTCCATGACATTCTGCAGGGAACACAGCATGGGGCTGGCTTCAAGAAAAGTGCAATGTGATTATCCCATGGTAACGATCCTTCTTAAGACCTTAAGCAAGAAAATGAACGTTAAAAAAAAAAACAACAAAAGACACAACCCAAAACCAATAAAACGGCATGCTAAAATCTGACTTCAACAATTTAATATCCATTTTTGTATGTACTCAATGAATCTATCTAGGCATCACTGAGCACAGGCTGGCATAGACCCTGGATGAGGTGCCAGTCCCTCGTAGGGCACTCACAGACAAAAACACATGCTATGGACAATACAGAGATGCTAATGAGCTTAACTGCAGATCATGGACACAGTATGCAAATTCCATGCACACAACAGAGGCAAGATTTGAACCCCAGCCATGAAGGAGAGGCAATACTGCTGCCCACTGAGCTAACCAGCCACTTTTTATACACATTTAAAATGATTTCAAAAAACATTTGTAGCAGTTTTCTACAAGGAAGGGCAGCTACACAGACACTCTGTAGCAGGCTCTCTGCCTGCACAGGCCTGCCTGTGATTTCGTGTGGCACAATACTCTACCCACTGAAGAATTCATGGGCATTCCTTTCTGATGCTTAATGTCGAGAGGCATGCACCGACCAGTTGTGAATGCATCTTTTTCAATTTCAAAGCTTAGCTGAAACTAACGTTCAAATAATTTATAAACCAATGTCTATTAGGGGTGTGAAATATCTGGTCCATATGTAAAGGAGTGTCTCACCTGGTCCCTTCTCTTGGAAGATGACTTTTGACTCTGGAAAAAAGTTGGAGCCCATTATGACCATCTCTTCTCCACCGCTGATGGGGCAACTGTTCAGGCTGCATTTATCCACTTGAGGTAGCTCCTGTGCAGAGCGCTGAGCTGCAAAAGCAACGAGCATGTGGTCAACACGTGTGCATGGACACAGTCATGCAAGCACACACAGACACATAAGCACATAAACACTAGCTGCACCCCAGCACACACCCAGATTCACACAGCCTAAACATATTCCTGTTAAACACTCCGTGCAGTACAACCCTATGTGAGCACAATCACAGCACACACACTCATACACCAGCGAAACAGCTTAAATCAAAGTCCATTACTGTACCAGGTGGAATTTTCCAGAACATGTGGGCTGTTTACACAAATCCAGTGGAGCCCCAGATCCACATGTACACAGCATTAAATTTTGACACAGTGTGTATTTTTATGACGACATCAACACGTGTTGTGTTTGGATACCTTAAATAAAGAACTAAACACTGGAGTTATACATTTCCTTAGAAGAACACACATGTGCATGTGAGAAAAGTGTGCCTGTGTCTGCCTGTACATTCACCTGTGTAATATATTGTGGGTTTGTATTCACAAATGTTTGACTAAGCACGGGTGTATATGGGCACGTTAATGCACGTGTGTGTGCACTCACAGCACTCTACTGGGATGGAGGCGACCTGGAGGGACAGGACCTTGCCGCTGGCCTGCGGCACGTGGACGCGGAACACCACCCGCACGCGCGTGTTCTTGCGCCCGATGTCCGTCTCGCCTTTCCGCAGTTCGATGTCAGAGTTGCGCAGTTTTAAAATCCCAGCGCAGTCGATGCTGCCGCAGACGGGGAGACAGTTAGTCCAAAAGGCAGGACCTATGCCAGGTACACTGGGTCACTGTACTTTTAATCACTGGCATGATACACCCCCCTTCCTGATGTGGCACATAATAGCATTAAGGTTAAGCAGGGCTGTCTAGTTCAGTCAGTGTAACCTTAATGAGGTTTTAATGGGATGAACCGTGTAGGAACAGTCCCACATTTACCAGCCACAATCGCTATAAACATATTTCAAGCCTCACTGGTTTGCACCATATATTGGCCAAAAGGTGCATCTTCTGTCGTACAACAGTGAAGCTCATCTGATATTAACATACCATTTACAGATGAAATAAACTGCATATTGAATATGAATTTTATCTCATTTAAAACAAAAAACAAACTTTCAATTTCAAATTATATTTGAATACACGATTGGTTAGAATATAAGCAGCGCTATTTTATTGATCCTCATGAGGAAATTCTCTTTCCGTCTACCCCATCATGCTCTCCATGAAACACACAGACTCGTATACAGTGAGAGCAAAACTTGGGGTCTCAGGCATAGGGCTGGCCAGTGTGCAGTGCCCCTGCAGCTGGGGGTTAAGGGCATAACGGTGGCATCAACCTGCAATGATGGTTCAGTCACCTTTTCACACTGTCATACAAACCTAAATCGAAATACGGCCAATTTAATTTTCATAATCAAATTAACATTTTTGCTCCTTGTGTCTGTATTAATGTGCACTATTGCCATCCCCACCAAAGACTCAGGAATTAGTGTATTAGCCTTTCTGCCTTTTCATGGAAAACATGGCTCTCTTTTCATTTCATGGTGCAAGTAATTTCCTTTGTATTGGCAAGACATCGTTTGCGCAGTTACTAAAATACACCAGTTTCGGGTTGAACTCCTTTTTAGAAATGAAAAACAGCTAATAACACACACACACTGTAATATTTTCCTGTAGTAACTTACTCAAAACGTTGATTTAAATTTAAAAACCCATAAAATGTGGCAGGCATTACAATCACAATGACTGTTTTTGGATAGCCGCAGTATTTTAACACCTGCAGGACTTCTCCAAGGGTTTGCTCAAGACTGAGTAATGCTCTTCTGAAGTGGTTATGACAAATACCTGGCTGACATATTGTTGTCAGGAAGGAGAGGAATTTCGAGAAGCTTGGTGCTGGCAATTATGATTTCCTGGCTGGCGGTGGCAACCGTTTTTCCTGTGATCCTGTGCACCTGGTAGAAGGCATGCGGTCTGAGGTAGCGATCGTCAGCTGTTCCAATAAACATCTGCAAGTTCACTGGCTTCTCATTAAAACCTGTAAGCTGCAATGGGATAGGGGAGAAGTATAAGGAAAAAAACAGCAATATAAGCCAAAGGGATTTCCCTCATATATCCCTCCAGGCTTATCTAAATGACTATGGAAACATGCATGTATAAAAAAAGATAATTCGGGAAAAGTCTGACAACTTTATTTCCAAGAGCAAAAAACAGATGTTGCTTAATTCACATGCCCCTCATACTTTCCTATTTTTGTTCCTTACTAAGAACACTGAATTTATACTTGGAAGACTCATCAATTCCAAAGTCCAAATAATCTCATAACGTAAATAGTATTAACCATTGCCTGCACGTGTTACCAGGCTTGCCGTTAGACATGCCCTGTCCCACTGGGGGCAATGTGGCAATGTGCCTCACAGCCAGAGAAGCATAAAGAAAGTTCTGCACAATAACCTTGTGTAATTTGATGATAATATCAGTAATCGACAATAACAGACAAGTAATCCAGTGTCAGGGTCTGACCGGCAATTATCATCTTTGTTGGGGAAGTCGGCTTAGACTGCACACAAAGCAAGATAACAGGAACAGTGTCTGATGTTTTTTTTTTTTTTTTTTTTTAAAAAAGGGTGAGTGCGTGTGTGTGGCGTTGGATTACATCACTTAGTCTTCTAGTGTGTGCAGTAGGGCTATTAACTAAGGGTGAAGGTCATCAGGACCCTCCGTGCCCCTCCATTAATCAGGGCCTGGTGAAATTCACAAAGGAGCCCATTAATCTTCTAGTGAGACATGACAACCTGGAGTAACCACCAACTACCACTGTAGTTCTGTCAAACATCATTTCACAAACATCTGAAGCAATGCAGCTGTGATCAATCACAGGCCAGTCAGGGTAGTTACAGTACTACTAGAAATGTGCATGTCAATCAAAAATCTACCTTGACCATGCTTTATTTAAAAACGTTTGCTTTTTCTTAGCTCAAGAAAAAGGTCTTGTTACTGGTAAAGGGTTTCAGTGAATGCTGCGTTTAGCTGCCAGTGAATTTGAAAGGTGTGCTTTCTTCCCTGTGACCTCTGGTCAGGAAACAGCTTCACAAAGTTAGCAAGTCCAGCTGATATCATTTCCCACACTGTTGGTTTTTCCACTGGCATACACGAGCATACATAAGAGGGCTGAAGAAAGACGGCAGCTGTTGAAGTCCAATTCAAGCAAAGACGAGGTGGTATGTGGTATTCTACATGGTTAAAGCAAAACCGTGACAGGAACACTCTCCACTGCAAGCAAAGCATACACTGGAGGAAGCTGAGAGGACAAGGCCTTCATAAAATCAGAACTCTTGGCCTAGATATTGGGGTGTGGGGGGAATTCTGTGGTTAGTTTCGAATATCCTCCTCACCCCCGCAGGACCACACATTCACAGACACACACAAGCTTCACAGGTACAGCCAGTGGTTAAATAAATATTTATGAGTGATATATTTCTGTTATAATAATTTTATGCTTTCAGGATATTTCAAATGTTTGCACGTTTAATCTTTGCAAGTAAGTACTGGCCTTTGTACTTTTTCTGTTTGTACCACATGTGTGTTCATCGCTGCTGTATACACCAGAATTTCCCCCAGGATCAATGAAGTCCATCTTAACCTTAATCTTATTTACGACGTTTGGACTGGTCTGGCCACAGCAACTGGAATCCCACCCTATGACACACGAGCCAGCTTTCTAAGGTAATCAATCATAGGGCAGTAGGGGTGGTGTGTTTGTGTGATGGGGGGCAGTGAACAAGCACACATCCAACGCTTTCACCAGCTGGATACAAACCACTGCATTTAGGTTTTCAAGCAGAAGCTGAGTCAATGTTTAGGACCTACAGTCTTACTTGACCAGGTTGTGTATTAGAAAAGCATGGGTGAATTCATAAGGTAAATTCATAATACTCTTATTCTGCAGAATTTAATCAACATGTTGTTTTCTTCACCTTGCTGTCTTCAACCACCACATCCCGCAAAAAAATATACAGATCCAACATGTAAAATCTCACCAATTATTTAAAACAAATACATTGGCATTAGCAAGGATACGTTGGCATTAGCAAGGATACGTTGGCATTAGCGAGGATACATTGGCATTAGCGAGGATACGTTGGCATTAGCGAGGATACGTTGGCATTAGCGAGGATACGTTGCTCTTGTTTGCTCTATGTCAAACGGAAGATGTGTGGAGGCAACCATGCGGGTTCTAATGCTGACACTCCACAGTAAGACTCACTCTGTCCTACTTTTGCACAAGCCTGAAGGAGCAAGTTGTGCTACTGTGCCAGAAAACAAGCTGCTAGTTACAGAAAACTGTGACTTATTCCCAGGCACCTTCAGAGGTTTTACGAAAATGACGGAAGTACCATCTTTTGCCTGGAAAGGCAGGTATATTATATGGTTAAAATGGGACAGCAGTACAACTGACATAGCAAATGTAAACCTACATAAGGTTATAATAAAGGCATCCAACTTGTACCTATAAATGGACTTCCATAAAGAATATTACATTAAACATTCAGGGTAAATACAATGGTCTGTAATAACGAACACATTCACTACTTTGTGACGCTCATGAAAGCATTATACAGCTTCAGTGGTTCGTCAGTGTATGTAGTTTTGTACTTTTATTTTTACTGGGTAATAATCATTATTATTATGTAGAGTATTATTTTTTCTGACTTACATACAAATCCAAACACAGACTTAGGGAGGGGGATCTCATTCATAACCTGCTTTAAAACCAAAGTCATAAGGAATGTTGTTACTTTGTTGTTGTAGTGTATGTTACAATGTTACAACGGGCAACGAGGTGGAGAGATGCTGCTGCTGTGCAATTTCACACAAGATACGAAGGTGACAGAGACACACATGCATAGTTACCAAACTCTGAAAAGTTACTGGAAACACATTCAACATGCCAACTCATTTGAGACGACATCATCTGAGTGTGTGTATGACCAGAGAAAGGCAGAAACAGCCTCTGCGAGTGAGTCTCCATCTGCCATTTAAGACATAAGGAAATATAGACCAAATACAGGTTAAAAAATAAACAACTACGGCTACAGGGGAGTTTATTGCTACAGATGTGTGACCATACTTAATAGCAAAGAACATGGGATTTAGTTCATTATCACTGTTATTTTGTAGTCTTATTTTTTAATTTTTGTTTATTTTAAAATATTTTTAGAAAGTGCAAATGTGTCTTAGGTTTTGTTACTCAGACACGTTCAGTTTACAACTGTTCCTAATTGCATTTGTAGTTTTAAAAACTGAATTTCAAAACATGATCCCAAAAATCGAGGTTTGTACTGAACCGTGAATTTTGTGTGCCATTTCGCCCCTGGCTGGGATAATTATGCTGTCTGTAAGGTGCAGCAAAAACATTTGAAAGTCGGAACAAAGCAGAAGTTTAAAGCGCTAACCTAATCTGGTCCAGCAAAAACATCAAAAGTTGCACAATTTCTAATCCAATGTTTTTCAAATGGAGGGTCACAAAATATGCGATGATTATTTTTTTTCTCTGATGTTGAACGTTTTTGTTAACAGTGCATGCACATACTGCCCTACTCTTACTGCACTATTTACGCCATAGTTACCATTACTGCACTATTTTTTGGAAAAAAAAATGGGTTCAAAATTTTAAAAATGTGGGTCCCTAGGCTAAAACGCTGTTCTAAGCTATTCAAGTTAGAATAACTAAAATTAACTACAATGCTAATCACTGTATTTCTTGAAAGCTTTTCAGCACATACTGAAAAATGTAAATCTGCCATATCCCCGAAAGATGGGAGCAAAAATCCCCAAAGACCACTATGACTGTAACACGGCCCACTAGGCTGAAACTGAACTGTCAACGTGACCCTCCACAGTACAAACAGAGAGTAGAGAGAGGCAGAGCGAGAGAGACCTACATATAAACAAGCCATCGTGCTCTCTTCAGTTCAGTATGGGGCGTCTCTCTCTGAGGAGGAGTAGATTAGCAGGGACTCTCATTAGCTTCTGCTTCAGACTGTTCAGGCCAGATGGTAAATGAGGCCTGGCTGGAGCCAAGCCTGCATTAGACTCACGATACTGATACTGATCCGGAGAAGCGCTCGCATGCCTCTTCTGTTGGAATAGTAAACTCAAACGCAAATAATGTAGCTGGATAGTGTTACACATGATGGTCTAAATAAAGCAGCCTTATTTTGGGACACATTTGTTCCACTGAGCAACTAAGAGTCTAAAATAGCCCAATATGCCATGAGAACCTTTGGAGGAGGGAAAGTCACGTCTCAAATATTTAGCATTCATAAAATGAACAAAAATACAACCAGCCAAGACAGATGAGCAGATTCTCCCGACCCCCCCACAAATACACAGTGAGCTGGCACACCTCCCACACCTCTTTTCTTGCCGTCACTCTACCTGAAGAAACTGGCTCAAAGTTGTTTCTCCATGTTTCTTTGTGGTTTCCATTGTAAAGGTCATGCACATATGTTTAAACGCTAAAAACGTCAACTTGGGTGGTGACTGAAGGTCACCTCTGCCTGTTCCTCCTCAACACGCCGTTACGCTGGCTGGGGACCTCTCATGACGACAGTGTTCAATGTTTGTGGACAGCAGCACTCTGAGCCCCCTGCCCTGCCCCCCCAAAGCTTTGTCTGAACAAGGTCAGGTGTGCATGCGGCTGCCATGTTCATCTGCTTTCTCAGCTATTGCAGGCAAAGCCTGCTGCGGTCTGCTGGCTGGCTGGGAATAATGCAAAGATGCCTGTGTCAGGACTGACTTCATATCAAATAAAAGTGTCAGTACCTTTGATAAACTGTGAGTAATTGTAAATTTAGCCAAATCATTCCACTGATGTTAAATCCATTTAAACTGGGAAGTATACTTCCTTTGAGCTCCCAAGTTTTCTTCATCCTATCACTTCAAAGTTATCATTTACAAACACTTCCTAAACTACAAAAGAATAAAAAATGCAGTTTGGCAGGATAAAACTGCAAAAAATGTCTGCCGTCCTCCAAAATGACTAAGAGACAAAACAGTTTTCATGAATATAAAACAACCAACCTTCTAAGCAGTGTTAAGCATTGTTTAACACTGCTAAGTTTAATACACTGACAACATTCTCATTTACAACACTTCAGGACACTCTTTCTTTTTCAGTTAACAACAACAATTAGTTAGTAACAATAGTTCACTTTAGGAACTTCAACAGCACAATAAAATGTTTGGAGATCAGTATTTTCCTGGGGTTAGTGGGTGCGTAAGTGAGAATCCTCCAACAGTGATGACTGCTAAGCTTGCACCTCTTGCCAGGACCACAGGTGTGCAATGTAGAATCTACACATTCAAACAAGAACAGGACAGGAGTGCAAGCAGCCAGGCAACCTGCCAACCTGGCAAATGGGTATAACCCAACCCCCCAACTACAGGCATGCTCAGAAGGCAAGGTCAAAGGTTAATCCCTCCTTTAACCAGAGTCTGCTACAGCTCTTGTTCTACGACAGGACAGCTACCCTAATACAGAGTAAACAATGTCGCAGACTGTGCTTAGGTGTGAGCAGAGCACATGTTATTAGGACAGTTTTATGGGGTGCTATTCCCTCCCTATTTATTACAACTTATTAAAGCCACAGAGAAGCATTCATCCCTAAAAATGTGAAGTTACAGGCAGCCAGAAAGTTTGACAGAAGTTATTATTTATTGTTAAATAAGGTAGGACCAAGATACTTCTACAGTGACAAATACAAGAAATGAATGAACATTCAAATTCAACCTTGAAATTTAGTATCTCCAGGGCAGATATTATTTGTCCCTTGAGGTCATTTGAGAGTCTAATTATCAGTCTAAATGAAGTGAATGGTAATAAAAGGGCATGGCTTCATGTGAAGGCTTACCAACAAAAACAACCAAAACGACAAATAAAGAAAGTTTTCAGTGAAGCAATACTAGGTGCAGCTCTGGGTGCGTTTCCTGAAGCCTTCTTAATGCTACATCATTCGTAAGTTTTATCGTTTAACATACGGAAACTCACCCCTGATCATTGCTGAGCATCACACAACCAAGTTCTATAATTCACCCAGCAGAACAATAGCTTCTTTAATAGTTCCATTGTTTGCCCACTGCACCTTTTTCAACCTCATAATTTTTCAACTTCATAACCTCAGTCAGTCGAGACTGCAATATGGACACATTTTACCCATAAGCCCCAAGACTAGATCATGCATACCTAAGAGCCAAGTAACTTTTTTTTAATACAGCAGGTTAGGCCCCGAAGTTCTGGTGATTGTTTTTAAACGGGGACACCCAACAGGAGCATCTGATGAAGCATAAACACTGTAGTGTAACACAGTAAACAGAGTCTCTGTTTTGTACACACAGACAGCAGTAAAGCTGATTAAGCAGTGCTGTTCTGCAGGGTCCGTTCAGTACACCTTAAAACTGCTTGTGAAACAAAAAAAAAAAGAAAGAAGGTTGTCATGGGAATAAAAAAAACAAAAACAAAGATGGGGATGTGTTCAAAAGGAAAAAAAACACCCAACCAAGACTATTTTTACAAATTATGCATCTTCACAAATGGCCAGTCGAGTCTATTATTACTTGTTAATCATTAGCTGCGAGTTTGGCATAAGTCATCCAAAGCCTATCTGATGTGTAAACATAGAAAAACCTCGGAGGAGAAAACACACATATCAGAAGAAAGAGCGAACAAAACCAGGACAGAATAACAAGGGAAAACATAGATAAACAGGACAAGGTAAAATAAGGCAAACCTGGGTCATTATAGCTGCAAGCTAGAACGAGGATGCATGAGAATCAATGGCATCAAACCAGCCAGTTAAACAGTTTTTACTGTTGCAAGCAGGAACTCAAACCAGGTGGCGGATTGTACATAGTGATGTAACTTAAGGCATCTGTTCACAGGACTAGCCTAGTTAAAAGTTTCATGCTCATATAAGCGTATCTAGCAGCAGGCAAATACTTTCATATCAAAAATTTGAAATTTGTATTAAAAACAACAATGACCAGGTTAAATAGTACTAGCTAAATTCAATGGTTAAACAGCAGCCTTACTGTGTAGTGAAAATGAAACATGATTCAATTCATACTGACAACTATTGTTCCCACTAGACAAACATCCATCGAAAGAAAAATGATTGAGCTATGCACCAAGAATCTTGTTTCACTTTTTAAGTATTAAAAAATTCTGAAGAGAATGTTTTGAGTAGTGGAACACATAACATTGTAGGAAAGACTCCAGTCCACCGAATGACAGCACAGCACGTAAACCAATGAGATTCAAAGACCTCCTGCTGATGGTGATCTCCGGCCCTGATGGTTCCGGGAATTAAGCATGGCCGAAACCAAACTGTCACCGTTTGTCACGAACAAAATGTTAATGGGAACACAAACCCTCAGGGTAAATCGCGGTAAGCTCAAGTGTGGAAAAAAACAATCATACTACAGTGGCGCCCTGTAACCTGGATTACAAGCACACAGCACTTAGCGCTTTCTGCTTTAAAATATATAAAGTAATATACATATGGGATATTATAGTAATATACATAATATGGGATATTATAATTTCATTGGGTAAAATTCTGTTGAACATTTTGAAAAGTCCAACTCAAGTCTGCTGAAACAGATTATAATGGGATTCTGCAGTGTTAGCTGAAATATGTCTACGGTATAACCATCAGCTAGTGGTGCACTGATGTGGGGATTTTGACCGATACTGATAACTGATATATTACCATCTAATATTACAATAACCGGCAAACCTCCACAAATCTGTACTGAATCCGATGCCGGTGCTGTTGCTTCTGATGACTGTGTGTTGCAACCACATCATACAACATGAGCAGTGAGACGTTAGCAAAGCTGAGCTGACCTGAGAGACGGCAGCAAGGTTCGAAGTGGTGAATGAGCTGACAAGATCCCTCATCCGCCACCATGGAGAACGTCCAGTGCAATCAGCTATATTATTTTACTTTAGCTCTGGTGTTGTTAATGTTGAATAATGACTGAAGTCCAAATATCGACCGGCAGTATCCATTTTTAATGAACATCGGCTGATGCCAACGTCAATCGATATATTATGCATCTCTACCATTAATCTAAAAAGCCATATTATTTTGTGAACACCTTGAAACAATCAAATCAGGACTTTACCTGAACCATAAATATGAAGAACCATAACACCGGTACCAGGTAGAATTCTAACAGTGTTAAACCAAAAATGTGATTAAAAACTGGATTAACATAAGGACCTATTTCATCCTCTGAACACCACTTTATGTTTCATTGCTACAAGTGTTTCACAGTGCTACCAGGATACCATCAGTGAACAAAAGGCCGTGGTCTCCATGGTAATGAAATATTCACCAGCTCACTCCAAGGATCTCAGCATCTTCTCAATAAGAGACAGGAGAGGGGCTGTAAACTGACCCGCTCTCTTGTTAGCATCACATGACAAAGAACAGGCAGTTCATTTACAGCGTCAAAGACAACCTGCCCTATTCTCTCTGTAGAACCATTGTGTGTTATTCAAGTTATACAAGCCTGAACAGATGTGCTACATTTCTTGCTAGATGTTTCCTGTTTTATTTACCTGTACTTATCTGCAATTTTTTACACTTAATGCAAGGCATAGTATTAAAAGTGAACGGTCATCTCTCTGAAAAAAGGGGTGTAAATTCCATGGGCAATCCTGTATAGCGAGAAAAGTGGTTAAATTAATTAGTTCAATCAAGTGTTTAAGCTGAAACTCACTCAATACTATGTCCGTAACAGCATTACTGCGCATAGAAGACCAAAGTTAGGGGCAGAGTAAAATATAAAGTGAAAATATTCACTGAAGGAGCATAAGAGTACATCACACTCAGATTACCTAGAGTCAAAGGCATCTCCCGACTGTTGAAATAACAGGGTTCCTCCAAGAACAGAGGGCCTCAGGAACTCACCTTGACCACTGGGTGGCCACCAGAGGCTGCCTTGACTGCCCCCCGGCTCCCCTCTGTCTCATAGTGGGCACGGTGGTGGGCCTTGGGCTGCACCTCAATCTTGAGCTCATACTGTCCAAATTGGCTGGGGAGGGGCCAGTCCAGAGGGGGCAAGGATGAGGCCCTAGGGGGGTGAAAAGGGTTGTGGGCAATAGCATTTACCAAATCATTGCACATTCATTTGGTGTGAAATTCAGCCTATTAATTTCAGCGCCGACTATTATTCCCAAAGATGAGTAAATCATAAGCAAGATTTAACAAGAAAAAACGCTGTGGCAACAAAATATCCAGCCATGGTTTAAGAGGCAGGTCACAGTGAGCCAATCAGTTCTGCTGTAATGGGAAGCCTATCCTGGAGAAAAAAACAGAAGTATTCCAGTAGCTTACTAGTGTTACGCTCCTTACTTTAGCTTTGTTTGCACAGCTGCATTAAACAAACAAAATAAATACACTTTAAATCTCAAATTCAGTAGTCATTCTCATTTTAGCAGGAAAACTAAATGAAGGATTTTTGTGTGCAAGCGACACTTAATTGCTTAAGTGCTACAAAGAAAAGGCTAAATATATATATAAAAAGATTAGAGATGCTCCGATCACCGATCACCAAGATCACCGATCACCAAGATCACCAAGATCACCGATCACCAAGATCACCGATCACCGATCACCAAGATCACAGATCACCAAGATCACCAAGATCACCGATCACCAAGATCA